ACACGCACACACACACACACACAATTGATCGGCTCGGCTCCGTCACGTTATGCACCACTCGAGCAGCTGCATTGTCATACACTGTATGCACTGTACTTAGACTGGAGATGTTTGGAATTTCAGCGCTCAGCACGACATCGCAGAGTGTCCCATCCTGATGGCATCGGCCGGGTGGCCATGGATCTGACGGCGGGACCTCACGAAGGACAGTGATGGCTGCTGCTTGGTTGCATCTCGCAGAAACCAGCTCTGGCCCAACTTTCAAAGCCAGTTTACCGTTGCAAAAGGACGAGGAGGAGCTGCCGGAGGCCTGGGCCCGAGGGGGCTATGGCAATGGGCTTGGGTGAGTAATGAGGACGACTCCATCGGCATCGCGCTGGGCCCTGCTCCTTCGGCGTCACGACCTGAAGAGGAAGGCTTGGGCAGAGCAAGTCTGTTGGGATTGGGCGAGTATGAAGTCTAATATGAAGCCTGATCCGCCTTCGGAGGCGCTGCTTCCTACTGCTACCTGATCTTGTTCAACCTCAACAAGCGCAACAATCTAGGAAGCTGGGCAGCGTAGGATCGAAGTCACCCCTTGGTATAGGGTGGACAGATTGAAGAAGAGTTGTTATTGAGGGTGAGGAAAACTGCTCGGCACCAGAGGATGTTACTGTAGAGGTTTTGCTAGCACCTGTGCTTGGAAAGGAGGACGAGATAAGGCTCGAAATATCCTTTCTCTGCTGGTGTGATGACGCCGCCGCTGCATATCTCAGGAGCCTGCCTTCGCTCTGCCGCGGCCTTCGGCGTGCGCTTAGTGGAAGCCTTAAGACATGGGTTCGCGCGACGTTGTCGTTCTTCGGCCGCAGAGAAGAACGACTGCGTGCGACGTGCAGGTGATGCTGGTCGGGCGACAAGGCTTCAAGGAGAGGATGGGATCGTCGGGGTGTGCCGTGTGCTGTGTCAGCGTGCTGGCCGTTTCGACATATGGGCCTTTCGTTTCAGGCCTTCTGCAAGAAGAGCGGCCAGGGCGCCGTGCCGATCGAGCATGCCGCAACCATCTCACAAGCTGTCGAAGCACTGAAGGCGCTTCTGGTCACGGTTTCGTCTCTGCCACTTCGCCATCCTGTACTGCACTGAAGGCGCGACACCCTTCAGGCCGCTTGTCCGTGTGCGGAGTGGAGATCCTGGAACAGGCCCGGCTTGGAAGTGGATTGGGGGCAAGACACCTGAACGTGAGTGAAAGCTTTCAGCCTTGGCTGTGCTTCACAACAGCCGCGCTATGCCGCGCTGCAGAGGCACAGTCTCTTCACGAATGCCCTTTCCGGGGCCCGACGGCTTTCATGTTGGGCAATGAGCGTGGAGGCGGACAAAGGGAACTTGCAAGGGGAGCGCCCCGATGCCAAGCTCATGGCTATTGTGCAAAATTGTGCAAATATGACTTTTGATGGACCAACTATGCCAAAGTCTGCTGCATCTGTTGGAATCTTCGCAGGTCTCACCCGCGACCAAATCGCTCACTGCGACAGTTCCTCATCGGCATGCTTCGATGTTGGGTGTTGGGGACTTCCAGGAGTCTTTCCTTAACCGTGTCAATGTCGATTGTCCGTAGCTTTCACATCGACATTGTGCCTTGAATGCTCTGGTACTACTCGCAGATGCTCCTGTTCTGCAACCGTCTAGAAATAGTTTCAAGGGTGCAACTGGCTGCATCGACAACTATTGCTGTCTTCCTGTTGCTTTCTTCGGTTCTTTGTTGCGCAATGGAAGAGCTCAAAGCCAAGCTTCGATGCGTGGATAAGCCAAAAAGCCAAACGCATCCATGTATCGCTCAGCGTCAAAGCTCGTCGACGCAGAACTCGAGACAAAGACTCTTCTTCTTCTGGCCGGATGACATCGCTGACTACGAAAGACCGCACGGTCAGGAGACCGTGGAGCAGGCATTTGCCGATTTGCCTGCTGTGACACACCAATGTGGCAGCGGTGGTGTGGGCTCATGTGGGATCCTTTGTCATCCAGGACGCTGCGCATGTGGCCAGAAAGCTTTGCCTACAGTATACGGTGCACCTTCATAGCGGGCTAGGTGTCCCCGAGCTCGGGAACTCGGCCTCTGAGGCTTCGTCTACATCCCGCAGTTTGGGGGCGGCGTTGGGAGCCTGAGTCTTCGCTGCACAGATGCATTCGATGCGTCCTTGGACAGCGCGATAGCTTGGTGTCGTTTTCACTGGATTTGCACCTGATGTCATATTGGCTGAGTGGTCGCTGAGGAACGTTGCTTGTGCTTGCAGCGTGGTTCGACCCCTACTCGCAGCTCTGTGCGCAGGCCAAACCATAGACCTTGCATTGCACTGCATTGCAATCGCTGGGCGGCCTAGGTGCTGTACCAATTCAGCTCTTGGGCCAGTCGCGGTGCGGGCCTGGGCTTCCCGGAGGCGGGAGCTTATCATCGAACATGTGGGCCAAGATGCTGACAATAGCTGCAGCTTTGACACATGGGACAGTAGCAGGATGCTCGTCCTTCCATGGCGGCCCCACACGGTGCCGGCAGCTTCGTGCTGCGTGGTTCACGACCAATGCCGCCAGCTCTTGAAGGCTCGCGGATGTGGAGTGTGGTCAGCGAGTCCGTCTTGTAGCCAAGTGAACCACTTCGAACCTTTAGGATGAACATGGAGGAGCGCTCACACATGCTCGTATCCGTTTGCACGTCTGCGTCGGGGTGAGAAAGGATGCCACGCGTAGACAACAGAGTAAGCTCGAATCAAATCACTGTCAAGTCTAGGAGTAGCTTGTGCAGCGATGTGCAGCGCATATGGAAATGCTCCGAAGGAAAAGCAGGAATTGGAAGAACCTGAACGAAGAGTCGTTGTGCACGGACACCGCATTGTAGACTAACGTACATACCTGCAGCAAGGATGTTGTTGATGTGCATGCGGAAGGTCCTGCCAGCTTCGGCAGCTGCCAAGCTGACGAAGCCACGACGCCGACTTCCAAACGAAGTAAGGGCGAGCAAGCAGAAGCAAAATGTGACTGGCTTCAGCTTCGAGTGTGGGGTACTGCTGGTGCTGTAATCAGGCTGGCTGTAGCACGACATGGTGTCGAGGTCTTGTCAATTCGGGGTTCCCAGGCAAGGCGCCGGACTCGTTACAAAGCTGCCATCCTGGCATGCAAATATGAGCTGTCCTTTTGTGGGGGCGTATTGACAGGAGTGGAAACTCTCTTCAGGTGTTTGACCTAGCCGGCCCGGTTTGAACAGACAGATGGGTGAATGCCTCTGCTGCAGCCTTTCTACTCAAGTTATCCGTGCCACCCGATTCACAGATGACGCAGGCAATTGCCAGAGGCTCAGGTGCAAGCGAAGCAGCTCGGTTACCACCACGCCTCTTTACATGCCCTTACATGTTTGCTGGGATTGCAGGGCTGGGTGTCCTTTTGTTCCACAGCCCAGCCAAGAAGCGAGCTTCCTGGGGCTGGTGCGAAGCAGCAGTGGCGATTGCTAAATTTGCCAAGTGCCGAAGGTGGTCGGCGGCGGCCTAGCCGGAGTGTCGGCTGCCAACAGCGTCCTCGAGTGCGGTGGCAAGGCCAAGATTAGTGTCGACTAGTGTCTAGGCGTTTGCCTTCCATCGGCAGGTTGCCACAGCAAACTTTGCTTGCATGCTGGATGCTACTGGGTAGGTGGTGCTGGTGGACAAGTCCGCC